ATACCATTGTATGACATGTATTCACTCTATTTCATCTAAGATGGTAGTACAATTTTCCCACAATGATATGAATAGATTTGACGTTTCCATTGAATTTCACATAGCCTTGCTTTCCCAAAAGTAGTTGTCATCCCGGCTGGAGTGGACTGCAGTTTCGACCTCGCATCGGTCCTATCAGCACCCACAGCGGGAGTCGAACCGCGACAGTTCAGCATGTGAGCTTGACTCGTTAACCACTCGCCACGTTGCCACGAGTGCCTTTTGGGTCACAGGGCAGATGTGAATTTAATTGAAGGCCAGGCCTTTTCCCATATCACATTCCTCAGTTTGATTATCGATAAAGCAAACGTATTGTTGAAGGTATGAAGACCAAGATGGTGTGGCCTTTTGTGTGGTCGCAGTCTCCTTTCGTCGGCTTGTCTCTTTGACGAGTTGTAATATGTTGCTACGAATGGCGAGATTCACTGACGATGCCGGCGAATCGTCTGGGAATGTACCACGTCCGCGGTCCTACTCTGGAAATGATGATGCATACAATGGACTCAGGACTGGGTGTGTTCTTCTAAGTCGTCCTACCAATTTGACCGAGTTGCGAAAACAAGGTCAAACAACTTGTAAACGTATTTTTGCTATACACTCGATTACGTTACTTATTTTTCGTGTATTAGTAGAATTTCGAGAATACCAGTAAATAATTCATTTGAGATGTATTCGCCCCATTTTGTTTAATGTGATGCATTTATTTTCCACTTCACCAATTCTCCACTTCTCCACGCACTGTTGTAGACAACACTATAGCAGAGACTTTAGTGTTTCTGTATGGCGCTCAGTTACAATTCTAAACGTGTCAAAACCGGCTAAAATCTGCATCACCTGTTCTATATTATTTGCCCTATCCTTTGTCTACCATAAAAACTATTGTTTCGTGTTGTCTGAGTCTCTTTGCGATGCCATTAAACTACCTATTCTTATTCGGTAACTCCTACCTGGTGTAGAGTTAGGTGGAGGAGACTTCATCTCTCGGCAGCAGGATAATCATCATCAACATGTTTGGGAAAATGGGAAAAAGGAATAGGTGAAATATATTTTACCATCACAAGAGACACTCTGGGAGTGCTGGAATAACATGGGTTCTCAAATTCCGCAAAAATGTGTAAAACGTGTCGGCGATGATTAAGATGGTCATACAAAATATTGAGACAAAATGTATTTCGTTTGAGATGATAAGTTGAATTTTCCTAGAATGCTGTGAGTAGACTTTACATTTCTATTAACTTTTCACATAGCCTTGTCTTCCAAAAGGGACTCTTTTCAAAACAAAAGTGGACTGCCTTCTCGACTTCGTCTAGGTCTCATCAATTGCTTCAGCGGAACTCTAACCATAACAATGCAGCCTATAATCTCTACATCCTAAAGGAAATAGTGCGAATACACGTGAAATTGATGATCTACAGGTAGTCTCGAAAACCGGTTTATAAAACGAAAAATATATAATTTAGTCGATTGGTATAGCAAGTGTAACTGCTTCATTGACACTCTCAGTACAGAATTTGATATGGCAAAATGCTTGGCCTTCCTTGAAATTCACATCCACCCTAAGCGTCAAGGAGACTCGTGGCAATGTTGTTTAGTTGTTAGCGTGTCGAAATTGTACGCTGACCTGCCACGGTCTGAGACCCGCTGGGGCTGTTGCTGTGACCAAATCAGGCGCGGTCGAAATTTCGGTCAACCACGGTGGGGATAAGGATACCTTGGGAGAAGCAAGACTTTGTAGAGCCTACCCATGATTGTGGGAAAATTGAACTACCAGTTCTTTCATCATTTTAAACGGGATATGTTGGATACATCTCATATATACGATATGCTGGTAGTCTCGACAACTTTCTTATCAACTATTAGTATATACAAACAAACTTTCCTTTATTAACATTAGTCAATTTACACTATTTCGCTTACATACTATTGTATACTTTGGTAATCTTGTATGCAAATTATCAACCTAGTACTAAATTTTATTATAGATACGAAGAGAAAGTTGGTTTTGATGAATCTCCTGAGATAACATTGTTAGGGGGACCTTCATTTCGAATGAAAGTACATGATGA